AAAAGGAAAGAATTGCAAATCAATTAACTACCCAACTCCTCTTGAGCTTGTAGATTTATTCAAACAAGTTTTTTCAAGTTGATGAATTACAATCACTCTTGTGTACAAAGGAAGGTTCACTTCCTCCTTGCCCCGAACTCCACTCGGTCAAATTAGGAAATTTTACTATCCCTCAAGGCAACCCTCACAGAGCTACACTCATGAAGTATACACTCACAAATGAAAAGTTTACAATGAATCTCACACCACTAAGACTACAAATCTTCCTTGGAGAGTGTTTTCTCACTAAAACTACTCTAGATCTTTTGTATCTTCAGTGTGCAAAAGTTATTTGAAGATTCTGACCATACTCTACTTATAGGAGACCAACAAAGTGCTTCATTAATGCTTCCAACGGATAAAAAGTAGCTGAACAGTCAACTAGGCATTGAAGTATCGGACGTCCGGTACTCCTGTCTTTTATATCTGACAGCAGGCAGTGAGTTTGAGAAATTTTCTTCAATTCTATCGGACGTCCGGTGCAAGCTCTTTGTGCGTCCGACAGCAAACAAAGAGATTTGAGAAATCATCTTGTTTCTATCGGATGTCCGGTGGAGACATATTCAGCGTCCGATAGTTTCGTCGACTTTGAAGGATCCTATCGGACGTCCGATGTTTGCGTCCGATCGAGGTTAGTGATCCAGGGGGAATCTCTTATTTCCTTCGGACGTCCGGTGGTGGAGTTCTTCATGCGTCCGAAGTTACGCAATGATTATCGGACGTTCGATCCAAGCGTCTGACAGCTTTCAGCAGCCTTTGTCCTTTTCAATTGCACTTGATCTTTGAATCTGATTTTCTTCACAACTGAAAATATTTCTTGAAGAGATATTAGTATTATCCATTGTTTTGTAAACATCAAAAGTTAGGGACCAAGGTCAACATCACCCACTATAAATAGTATAGCTGAAAGACGAAATAGAACGCTTAAAGACATGGTAAGGAGTATGATATATCATTTTACCTTACCAGAGTCACTCTGTGGAGAAGCACTTAAGACTGCAGCATATATTCTTAACAGAGTTCCAACTAAAGCAACTATCAAAATCCCTTATGAGCTTTGGACAGGGAAAAAGTCCAGTTTAAAGCATTTACATATTTGGGGATGTCCAGTTGAGGCAAGGCCTTATAAGCCAAATGAAAAGAAACTGCATTCAAGAACGATTAGTTGTTATTTTATTGGATACTCTGAAAAATTCAGAGGTTACAAGTTTTATGATCTCACAACTAAATCAATTTTTGAGACAGGAAATGCCCAATTCTTTGAGAATGTCGAGTTTGGGGGAGAAAATACAGTAAGGGATATTATCTTTAAAGAGAAATATATTAATATTCCTATAGGTGTCATTGATCTTGTTCAGGATCCTATTCCTGAACAAGATCATGACATGACAAATCAAGACAATGTCGAAGAACAAACTGTTATAGAAGAACAAACTCTCCCTCTCCAAGAACCAATGCCATTAAGAAAATCTAGTAGAGAAAGGAGAAGTGCAGTGCCAGATGATTACATTGTTTTTCTCCAAGAACATGAGGATGACTTTGGATGATGGAAGATGATCCAATCAACTTCCGTCAAACCATAGAAAGTTCAAATTCTCAAAAGTAGATCGATGCCATGAAGAGGAGATTAAATCCATGAAAGACAATGATGTTTGGGATCTTGTCTCATTGTCAGAAGGTGCGAAACCTATTGGTTGTAAATGGATATTTAAAATCAAGAGAGATTCGAAAGGCAATGTGGAAAGATACAAAGCTCGTCTTGTCGCTAAGAGATTTACATAAAAAGAAGGTATCGACAATAAAGAAACCTTCTCTTCGGTCTCTTCAAAGGACTCTTTTAGAATTATCATGGCACTAGTGACGCATTTCGATCTTGAGTTACATTAGATGGATGTAAAGACAGCGTTTCTCAATGGTAACATTGATGAGACGATTTATATAGTGCAACCAGAAAACTTTGTATCAAGAGATCCAAAAAATATGATTTGCAAACTTAAAAAATCCATCTATGGGCTCAAACAAGTATCTCGACAATGGTATTTCAAATTTCATCAAGTGATCATCTCATTTGGTTTTGAGATGAATTTAGTAGATGGTTGCATATACCATAAGTTCTGTGGGAGCAAGTATATTTTTCTGGTATTATATGTTGATGACATTTTGCTTGCCAGCAACGACATTAGTCTATTGCATGAAACCAAGAAATTTCTGACTAAGAATTTTTAGATGAAAGATCTTGGTGATGCATCTTTTGTGTTAGGTATACGAATACACCGAGATCGATCTCGAGATATTTTAGGACTATCACAAAAGGGATATATCGAAAAGGTTCTCAAAAGATATGGCGTGCAAAATTGTAAACCAAGTGACACTCCCGTGGCTAAAGGAGACAAATTTAGTTTTGAGCAGTGTCCTAAGAATGCTTTTGAGGAAAAAGAGATGCAAAAGATTCCTTATGCTTCAGCAGTAGGGAGTCTAATGTATGCTCAAGTATGTACGCGTTCAGATATTGCGTACATTACTGGAATGTGGGTAGATATTTAAGTAATCCAGGATTAGATCATTGGAAAGCAACCAAACGGGTCTTACGGTATTTACAGAAAACAAAAGATTACATGCTCACGTATCGGAAGTCAGATGAGTTAGAGATCGTTGGGTATACTGATTCCGATTATGTTGGATGCCAAGATACTATGAAGTCAATGTTAGGTTATGTGTACTTGTTGGCTGGAGGTGCTATATCCTGGAAGAGTGCTAAACAGTCTCTCATAGCATCTTCCACTATGGCTGCAGAGTTTATAGCTTGTTATGAGGCATCCAACCAAGGAATTTGGCTACGAAATTTTGTCACAGGATTACGTGTAGTGGATAGCATTGAAAGACCACTCAAATTATTTTGTGACAACAAGTCAGCAGTTCTATATTCCAATAATAACAGGAGCTCGACGAAATCTAAACATATAGATATCAAGTTCCTGTCTGTTAAAGAAAGAGTACAGAGTGGACAGTTATCGATAGAGCATATCAGGACAAACTCCATGGTTGCGGATCCGCTTACTAAGAGATTACCACCCAAAATATTTCATGAGCATACTGCTCGTATGGGTGTCATATTAATAAATGATGTACAGTTTTAGTGGGAGTTTGATATTTTAAATGCTCTTATGATACGTTTCGGTTATTAATGATCTAAGGATATTTTATGCATAAATAAAGTTTGGATTTATTTATACTCTGACTTTGGTATGGTTTGATCTCATAAAATTTTAAGGTGGACCAGTTGAAAATAGGCATGTTTTGATCACATTACATGAAATTTTCATGCTATACATCTACATCATGATTCATGCCATTCAATTGCATCGATATATGTGACCATTGATGGGTCGAGTTACGAAATTGTAACAAAGACCACTTTGATCCTATATTGGTGTAATTGATGGACCGAATTGGTTACAGATACATTGTGATAATGATAGTAAAGTTAAGTTCATACGATTAATTGCAAAACATAATTATAAGGTTACACATATAGTCCAAGTGGGAGATTGTTGGATCCTTAATCCAACATTGGACTTATATGTGAATAATTACGGGTTGCAAGCTGTCAAATAAAGTTAAGTCCAATTAAAGTGATCAAATATGATTTGGACTTAATGTATCTAATAGGATGTGGGCCTTTAATGTGTAGAAACTTGAGGGCTCCTATTTCTATGAAGGGCTGAAATAGGGTTTCAAAAGGTAACAAGAATGTTACCTATAAATAGGGTTATGGTCCCCAAGTCACACGATATCTTCTTGTCGTATTTTCTAGTACCACAATATACAACCCTTTCCTGATATCCCATCGTTAGGAAAGATACCAGAGAGATACTAAAGGCCTCTCTCAAGGATTGGTAAATACGTGTTGACCTGGAAGGCCACCCCAAAATCTCTAGGGATTCAAGCACCAGTTTGTCAACATGAATCAAGGTATGCTTCCGCAATTTTGTATTAATTATTTCTCAATAATCGCCATAAAGATCTTGGGATTTCATAGGTGATAGTTTTCACCTAAGGTTAAATATAAATAACCGCCCTAACAGGGTGCAAATACTGCATTCTTCTTTTCTTTCCCTCGCTGCCTTTCGGGGTTTATTTAGGCAGGTATATCACAATTCACAATCCCCATGCAGGTTTATTTAGGTAGACACATCACAGTACTCCTCATGCATGATCCGGTAAGATGAGATGGCTTTCCGAACCATATCAAAAGGAAAATAAAGGTGGATTCAAGGCCCTAATTGGTTGAGGGAGGACACAGAAATCACAACATCTGAAACAAAAAACAGCATGCAAGACACACATATAGGGGTTAAAAAATTCCCCACCCCCTCCCCGTTGCATTTTAATTCCCCCGGCTCCCACTCCCGCCCCCGTCCTGCCCGCTTCCCCCGCGATGTTAAAAAATTTTATTATATAATTTCATTATAATTAAATTTGAACAAATAATCAAGTACTAAAATATCAATACATCACCAAATTATTATTCATTGTAATTTATAAAAATAATTAAACAAAGGTTATTTGAATACAATTTAATATGATAAAACAAAAATAACTAAAATAATCAAGTTTTCACATTTGATACAAATACAATCACTAAATTATTATTGTGTTTTTTTTAGAAAAAAGTGTTATTGTATTAAGTGTAGTTAGGAATTTAACATAAATGTATTAATAAATTTGGTATAAATAATTAATAATTTTTTTAATAGACATGTATCATTAGTAGTATAATTGATAATATCATTATATATATATATACAATTATGTACATATATATATTCAAACGGAACGGGGGGAAAAAATTCTCCCCCGCCCCACCCCTCACCCCAATGACTCCCGCGGGGCGGGTGCCCGTGTCCGTTGCCATCCTTACAAACATATATGAAGCACACCATTAAATTTTTTTTTTAATCTCATGCAGACACCTTGGTGTTATCATACTTGATCTTGACTCCCGAGATGGTAATAGTGCTACTCTTGGGGACCAAAGTAACCAAGACGCTCTCAAACTCATCCGCTCCCAATTCCTGCAAAACTTCAGATATTGCATAACTCTTAGTAGTAGTAGAAATCATGGAATGTCCATGAGGCACGTTGGTGAAGCTCCCCAGCAGCTCAGTCTTCTCCGGCCCGCTCTCGTCCGGAGTATCTTCATTGATGTACACATCAAACTTGACAAACTCTCCAATATTGTACTGGATCCCAGATATCTCCAGAACTTCCTCTGCCTTCTGCTTCTCCGTCTTGGTACTCTTCTTCTTTGGCCTCTTCACTAGAACAGTTATAGCTTTCTCCAGGGTCGTTGGAAACACTTGACTTGGAGTAGGAGCTGTTGGTAATGCGATAGCCGTCCTACGCGGGCTTGGCTTACTATTCAGCCAGGGGATATCCACAGTTTGATAAGTATATCCAAGAACTGAGGTGTCCAAACAGTCTTTCACATAAACCTTTACAGGCTTTGCCTATTCGTTGTAGAAATAGAAACTGGAGTTTAACCAGTCTGAATCAGTTAAGTTCAGGCCTCCTAAAGAGTTCCAAAGAGACCAGATTCTATCAACGTTGGCATGATGACAATAAAAGGTTGGGTCTCTTCCCGCTGAGTCGAAGGAGCCCATGTCCTCGCCATGAGATTCATTAGGGTCGCCAGTCCAAACGTGCACATTCGTATGAGGACTAGTTTCAATTGAACCGGCTCCGGGATCAGATGTTTCACCAGCACGAAACGCTTTTTTGAAAAAACTCAATGGAGTTGTGGACTGAGTAACCATTTGCTTGTACATGAGGTAGAGATTGTTTCTTATCACTGTTGTGGTACTATCCTTTGAATCAGTGCCTTCGTAGGACAGATCAAGAACTGTATTTAGGTGAGAGGGATTGCGTAAGCTATCATAGAGTGGGGATGAGGAGTCTTTGAAAATGACTGGCAGAAACATCCCAGGTGGATTATCCCAGTTCCAAAAGGGAAGTGCAAAAGTATCGTTATCGACCATGTTTTGGCATATCTTCTAGACGAAATACAAGTACCATCTGTGAAAGGGAAAGAAGAGCCATGAGTTGTGAACATCCAATAGAAGTTTAGAATCTGCATAGCCATCTTGATAGTATCCACCGTTACAATATGCACAATGCACATTTGCTTGTGCAGTGAAACTACGTGGATCATCCGAACTTAGATTCCTCATTTTCTCTATGGCCGTCTTGTACTTTTTCAAATAAGTCGAGTCGACTAGTTGCACCGCAGGTCTAGTGGCGATGACAGAAGGAGCAGTAGGAACAAAATCAGTGATATCCGCGGCCATGACCGAGGGTGGACAACAGTCGATTTCTTTTTTGTCGGGGTCAGTGGCATCGTGACAGGCTATGAATGTTGGAGATAGTGGTGCTGCAAAGGCTGATGGATTAGCACCAGAAGTGAAGGCACCATAGAGCCCTCCTCCAATGCCAAGTAGCACATTTCTTCTATCAAGCTTCAGTAAAGAAGTTTCTCCATTTTTGGAGCCGGCAATGTCATGATCACTGGAGTTTTCGTCACCTTTTGTGGCATTGCATGTAAGTTTTGGGCCTGTTTTACGATTTGGGTGAGTGGGTTTTGCAAGTGAGATGAAATGTGCTATGGAGGAGGAATTGGCAAGGTTGGAGGAGAGAGTTGGCATGGTAAGAGAAGCCATGACCTAGATATTGAGCAAGTTATGCCGTGTGTACTATGCATGCTGTGCTGCCTCAACCTATGCTTTATATAGTGGACTTGAGCTTGGTAGCTTGATCAGATTAAGGTAGAAACCTATCATATCTAACTGGTTGATTGATGAAACCAAGCTTTAAGGTTTATAAATTGTTGGGTTTTTAGGGTTATACGATTTTCTATTCACGAGAAGGTTGGCAATTAAAAATCGAATTACATCTTAAGCGTGAATATATAGTACCATTGTTAATTTGCTCTTTTGTACGCTGGTTGTTGTGTCGCATCCAGGGCCCTATGTCTTGTTGCATTTTTATAATGGCTGTTTACATATGGGACATGGAATAGTGGGATCACTACTAGGTATATTGGGGAGGAATCAATTGGGTCAGTTGATGACATTGAGGCAGAAACCTAGTAGCCTAGTACTGTATTTGGCTGGCGTCATGGCAATACCCCCTGCCTAGAGTATCCAAACAATGTCCAAAATGAAAGTGATTTCTACTCGGAATATATTGGAAATTAGTTAAATTTTTAGATTTAAATCTTAACAACAACATATAATCTACAAGTTGTTGTGCCATGTTTGATAGGTTTTTGGCTTGTAATTTGATTTTTAGTTTGACAGGTTTTTATCTTCTGTAACAAGTATATTTGTAGGGCAACTTCTATATAAACTCTCATCAATGTTGATAATGTTGGTACACCATGAATAAAAGTACTTTTTTTCTAAAATTTATAAGAATACCCTTCCACTCAAAATAGTTAGGAAAAAAAATTGTGATGTCACTATCTGTTATACAAGTCATAATGAAATATTTGTTTATTTTTTAAATTTTTATATATATAATCAATATTTAGATGTTAGATTAGAATAAAATTTGCACAAAATTGACTTCATTTCAAATATTTCAATCTTAATATTTGTTGAATTCCACCATACATACATAAGTACACACGTATATGTATGTATATATATGTATAGACACACACACACACACATATATATATATATTTCAAAATCTTGAATAATTAGCGACATAAATCATAAATTAAACGAAATCAGACATTCATATTCTCTATCTATCGTACTTTTGCTGTTTATCTGAAATTCATGTAAATTCTTATATACCCACTTGTTCATGGGAAAGGTGTCTAGAATCGGACCAGATCTTATACATGAACAATTTCTAATTTTGCTAAAAAAAATTCCAGCGAATTATTCTTAACTAGATTGCTCCTTTGTACTATATGGAGTTAAAAAAAATAAGCACCTTTCAACCTCAACGGTTTCAGCTTTGCGGGATCCCATTTAACTGTTGATTAGTTCCCATACTCATTAATTGGCTTCAAATTCTCTGTTCCCAAAGTAGTCTTTGTCCTTTCTATCCTTTATTTGTACAGCTGCCACGTGTCTCTAGGCTTTTGTTACTCAAGTTTACTCAAGTTAGCCTTTTGATAATAATCGGTTGACAAGTTTACTTAAAATCAATTAAAGCCTCATTAATGGCTTCGAATCATCTATCACCAAAGTAGTCTCTGTCTCCTCTGTCCCTTATTTGTATAGCTGCCACGTGTCTCTAGTATTTTGTTAACCCAAACTCAAATAAATCAATAATAATCAGTTTACAAGTTTACTCAAAATTAATTAAAACAGACAACTCAAAACTTTTTTTAATTTTCTTTTTAACCAAAAAGAGTCTTGTTGATTTGGGGTAAAAAATAAAGAAGAGTTTTAGTTGATTTCTATGTTTATGATCAACAAGACTCTTTTTTGTTAAAAAAAAAAAAAGTTTTGAGTTATCTGTTTTAACTGATTTTGAGTAAACTTGTAAACCGATTATTATCGATTTATTTGAATTTGGGTTAACAAAAGGCTAGGGACACATGGTAACTGTGCAAATAAGGGATAGAGGGGACATAGACTATTTTGGGGATAGAAGATTCGAAGTCCTCATTAATACTTTGGCGCTTTATCCCAACATTACATGCACTTAAAACAGAAAAAAACTTGTCTCGTTCATATAGTCAACTCAATGGTGCCAGAAAGGGGGTTGAAAACTCCATAACATGATTGTAATTGGACTTCTTATATTTCAGAACACTTTTTTTTATGATTTTCCCTAAACAAATTCTATTTTTTTCAAATAATGAGAAAAAACAAACAAACTCTCTTACGCTTCATTTGGATTGAGAGATTTCATGAATGATTTTAAATTATCTTAAATCGCTCTAGTTGTTTAAATTATTTAAGATGCATTTGAACTTGTGAATCACAAATTATTATAGTGTTTAAAATGTATTTCGATAATTGATTTATTATACATTCAAATGATTTTTAAATATTTTAAACAACAACAGCGATTCGATGAATTTTAAATCTTTCATCAAATTCTTCAGTCCAAACTAAATAATACATTTGTACAGTTTCTCTGAGGTATAGGCATAGGGTGTGCATTAGGGAATTTTCCAAAGCTATAGCTTCGGTTGCTATTCTCTTATCAATAAAATATGGACTTAAAAACAAAAAGTGAACAAAATTGCACTTCAGAAGAATGCTGGAAAATACTCTCCCTTTGATCATGAATGTAATTAGTTTTTTTCTTTTTTTTTTGGGTTGGGAAGGGGAGAGGGCAAAAGGTCATCTCTTCATTTAGCTTACTATTGTACATACCTTAAGGGCCTCAAGAGGAAAATTCCATAACACGAGTTCTAAAACTGCAAATGAGTTGAATTGAATCGAATTTTGATCTAATTAAGTCGAGTTGAGTTTCGACTTAATTTTATCAAATTTAAACTTGATCTCGAGCTTGACGAACTCTCAATTTAAATTTTAAACTCAAATTCGAGCCAAGTCCAGCTCGAACTTGAGTTTTAAAACAAATAATTATTTTATTTTTTAAAAAATAAATAAAATAGTAATTTTTTTAAACAAATAATAAAATATTATGAAATATATGTAATTTCACTATATATAAGTATATAATCGAGTCAACTTGTGAGTTAACAAAACTTGCGTTTGAATTCAGTTTGGTTAGCTCAAGTTCAAATTGAAATTGGTGTTAAACGAGTTTAAATTGAATTTTGACTCGACCTATTCGCGAATAGCTAGGTTTGTATGCAGCTCAAATGAGCTGTCATTAGCTCTCAACGCTAACGAACGGAAAAAGTTAGGCAATCAAAAAACATTTGCAATTGTTCTTGAAAAGATGATTAATTCATACTGCAGGGTTACTTTTTCTTTCTGACAAGCTGTCAAGTAAAAAGTACTTTTTCTTTCTAGTTAGCCGATAACTCTTTCTTTTTCTTTTGGAGACTATCCCATAACTATTTTTTTTCCACTTGTCACTGAATCAAAATAAATGCTACTCCATACAATTATATGCAAGTTGAGCAGCAGAATAGTGGAACAACCACAATCACAAACCCGTGATGCCGTGACAGAAAATGACAAATAATTTGTCGACAAAGGTGTGCAAAAGTCACATTATTGTTGTCCGGACGATGCACCATGATTTTTACCTTGTCCACAATTCTTTAGGATTAAAATTAGGGTGAGAGCAAGTTGGATGCTCGCTCCATGCATTGTTTTGCGATCAGTCTTTTTTTTTTTTTATATCTTTACTCGACCTGTATATTAGAGTACTCGCTCAAAAGGGTCAGGTAAACAGTACCCATCCCATGCTCGTTTATTATTTAATTTTAAAAAATAATTTATACTAATTTAAATTTATAAATAGTACCTTGTTTAAATATATATTCCACACCAATTAAAATTTTTCTAAAAAACATAAGATCATAACATCTAAAAATGAATCTTATAAACTAACCATAGTCTCTCATATTGGTAGTATAATTTGTTTAATGAAATTCCTCAATTAGGACTAAAAATATTATTTTGTAGTATATGTATAAAAATAAAAAATAAAAAATATATATGCGGGACAAGTTGTGACGACCCGAAAGAATGAGCGTGAGAACTCGAAAATTTTCTCATTTTCTAGGGTTTATTTTATTTAATCGCCCGCCTTTTCTACATTTTCTTTATTAGCAAAATTCCCCAGATAAAGTTTATGAGCAAAGATAGTTTTAAAATGATTTTTCTGGTATCGGTTAGTTTTTGAAAAATTAAAAGCGTATTTTGGACGTGGGACCCGCAAGTGCGGTAAATGCATTATATTTTTGACAACTTGTTGGAATTTTGTATTAAGTGATATTATTTTACAATGTGTTAAGATATTTGTATTGGAGAGACAAAAAGATAAGATTAAAACCCTAAAGGACCATTTGTCACAAAACCATTGGACCTTGACTTTTGACCAAGACTTTTCTAACTTTACTAAAACCAATTTGGACCCAATTTCTCTCCATTTTAGCTTGTCTTGGACGAAATTTTGAGAGAAAAAGAGAGAGAAATCCATCATCTTGCACTTCAATTTCTTGTCCAAATCTTGAGTTCCAACCGATTAAATTGCAAATCACTCCATAAAACTTGCTAGCTAAGGAAGATTGAAGCTCTTGGTGGAGTTGTTTTGGAAGAAAAATCCCTAAGTCATCACCTTTCTTGATATTTGAAGGTATCATGTCTAGCCATCATTTCTTTGTTCTTGATTATGCTAAATTAGAGACTTGTGATGGCTAAAGAGATGGTTTGATGGATTATATTTTGAGTTGTGGTTGGATGGATGAACTTTTATTATTTTTGGGGATTTTTCTGTTTTAATATGAGTATGATTATGTGGTTATCTATGATGATTGGAAATGATGTTTAATGATTCTAGAAGGTGGAAAAAGTGGAAGATTGCAAGTAAATTCTGTTTTGGGAGAAATCTGGAAAATTAGGGTTCTTGGTTCTTCATTCTGTCCGAAATTTTAGGTCCTAGATAGAGGCCGAATTGGCCTTTTCTTAAAACATGAAAGTTGTATGGAATGATATTTTAAAGGTGCCTACAAAATTTCAGGTCAATCGGAGTAGCGTAGAGTGAGAAA